ATATTTATTTGTATTTATCCATACATTTTACTGTTTTCTTGACTCACTGCTACTTCTGTGTTCATTTTTCCACTTATATTTATTATTTGTTTTACTTTAGTAGCTCCTTTAGTAACTCTTTCAGATAGTGTCTGAGAATTATCGATAAACTTGAAGTTTCACATACCTGGAAAGGTCTTTATTTTGCACTCATGAATTACAGCTTAGGAGCATAGAATTTTAGATTTAGAGAGTAGTATATCTCATAACTTTAAATATATAGTTCTACTCCTCTTGTATCAAATGTTATTGAAAATTCTGTTCAAACCTAATATTTAATTTTGGATTCTTCAAGTGTTTGTTACTAGAAGCCTAGTATATTTTTTCTTTATTCTTGGTGTTCCAGAATGACTGTGATCTGTGTCTGCTTCTCCTCCTCTGATCCCTCTCATCCCTTTGATTGTGACGGCTAATGTCTTTTTTTAGGTTTGAGAAGTATTATAAATTACGGAAGCATTTCCTCCAGTCTGTTGATCTGTTCTCTATTTCTGGGACTACTGCATAAAATCTTTAAGGATTTACATCTATTCTCCAGGTTTCTGTGTTTTTCTTTCAAGCTTTCATGTTCTTTTCCTTGTTTTGATATATTTTGGTATACTTTTCTTGGCCAATTTTCCAGCTCACTTCTTCCCTCTCTTTTTTATTGAGGTATAATTTATATATTTAAAAACGCACAGGTCCCAGGTGCTTCACATTGATCAAGATACAGTTCCTTAATTCCAAAAAGTCCTCTTGGGCCTCAGGCAATCCTTACTCTCCATGAGAGACAGCCATTATTTTGATAGCTCTATCACCATTTTTGAACTTTATAAAAATGAAACTATATAGCATATACGCTTTTGTGTTTCGTTTCTTTTGCTCAATATGTCTGTGAGATTTTTTTTTTCATGATGATGTCTGTCTCAATAGCATGTTTTCTGAGAAGTATGCTACTTCTCGGTGGCATACTTATTATGAACATATTATAGTTTGTTTATCCAGACTCTTACTGATGGATGTATGGACTATAATGAAAAAAGCTACTATGAAAATTCTTATACAGGTATTTCATAGATAGACACACTTATTTTTCCTGGAACTAATCTTCACTTGCATCTCTTTTGTTCCCTATCCTATCCAGTTTATGAATTTTAAATAAATCTTTTATTTTTTTTTGTTTCTGAGATCTCTTGTTCATTTTCTATGTGCGTGTAGTATAAGATACTTCTAAATCACATGGTAGGTGACGTGTTTCATTAAATATGTTACTTTCTTTTGTTCTGTTTTCTATGTACTGGGTTGCATACTTCGTCTGTGTTTATTTGGGCCTTTCTTTCATAGGTAATTTTATGTTGTGTTTTTACCTTTGTGAGTGGTGAACCTGTTCACAGCATTTTATGCTTCCGCACCAGTGATTCTCAGAAAGTGGCAAGAGATGCTTGGGATGAGGTGTCCCCATTTCTGGGCTGGGGAGAGAGCTCTGGGGAACCTTGCCTGCCCAGGCCTATTCAAGCCACCATGGAGTCAGGCACCTCTGGTTACTTCTTCTGGGCACAAGTGAGGCTTGGGGGTTTTGGGGAGGCATGTTTGGCTGTGGGAAAGCACAGGATTGGTGATGTAGCCAACCATCCTTAGTTGCTGGGCCACCTGTACTCTTCTAATGGGCAGTGTAACCACCACCTACTCCTTATCCTGTTCTAGTTCTCTTGCAGCTGTCCTCCATCCTTTTTCTGACAGTCTGAATTCTGTCAATTAAGTATTTCTGTTCACTTAGGTCGTGTCTTTTATTCCACCAGCCTTGTGAATGTTTCACTTTTCAAATATATTTGTGCCATTTTGTATGGGTTAAGAGTGGGATGGGAAGCTTCAATGAGTCCTTTTTCTGCCATCTTGATCCCACCCTTCCTTAATGAGTTAGGTCATAGTAATAACTTCTCTATCATAGATATAGGTAAACATTAGAGATGTTAAGGCTGAAAAATCTTTACTGAATTTCTAAAAAAAATATATGTATATATGATTTTTGGCTATTTTTCTATTATTATTTACTTGTGGTTCTTCAAAATCACAGGAGTTTGGTCTCTTTTAACCTTCAAATGCTGTAAGCAATGTGATCTTAAAATTAAGCATGTGTAATTCTGTTCTTTTGCCATAGACAACATTTTGCTAGATTGAAATTAATAGTTTTAAATGAAAAATCTCCACCTGATTGATTGCAACTTCCCAGGAGATATGTTCACTTAGCCCAAAATATACTGTAGGAATGTTATCTTTTATCTACTTAATTTTCATTAAGATTTTAACACATGGATGATTAACTTTGAGAAACTAGATCTGCACGTACAACACGTGAAGCTCCGTGAGTAATGAGGTATTTGAATCCTAGGGATGTTGGCCGTGGCTTTGGAGGGCACAAGCTTTCAACCACTTAAACCAGAATCTCACAGAAGCTATAATAAGTCTTTGGCTTGCTCTTTTTGCAACTGGCTGAAAAATATCCATTGAATTAAGCAGTGACATGTGGGTATGCTATGTCATAAACCATTAGGACCATAATACATCACAGAGACTCTGTGCAACTGATTTTCTGGGATTAAAAGTAATGTTTCACTCAGCCAGTTGCTTGTTGCAATTTCAACAGACTTGAAGCCATTTGTTTTTATTTCCCCTTTTACCTCCCTCTCAAAGGTTCCCCATAATAAGATTTACAGTGACTTCAATTTTAGTAAGGAATCAATTTCAGTAGCCCTAAAAGAGTGAATGGTCAGCCTTAACTTGAAATCAAAATGGTTTTTAGATCTTAAAAAAATAATAAGTTTTTAAATGCTGGTTATGAAAGTCAGTTATATTTTTCTTCTCTGAATTTATGTTACACAACCTTTCGTGTCTCTCAATTCTAGCTTCTACACTGCATGTACCGTTTCATACATTTTATAATGTTAGAACATTTATTGATGCTGAGAAGCTTGATTGATAGTGAACTGCTTCTTAGTGGTGAGAATTTAGAGTGTGTTATAAGGATAAGTTTGTATATATATATAAAAACTGTGAACCCAAACAGATTTAAAATTCAGTACTGCCAGGAGTAATGTTTGATCTTTATAGGTAATAATTACCTAATAATTTCAGGATGCAGTATAACTAGAAGAAAGAGGGCAGGCTGATATGTGGTAAAACTCTGCCGTCTTAGAAGTGAAAGAATCAGCTTATTCTGTTACTTTATGTTTCAGTAGCTGTAATAATGTTTTTACATTGTGCCTCTGTATGCTTTATTTCTCGCAACTGAAATGATCATGTCCATGAGGATAGTTTTGCTTCTGTATCTCTCCTCTATGAATAATTACAGTTCTTACGTAGTGTTCAAGAAAGAAGATGCTTGGAGCTTTGGAAGCACTTCCAGAACCCTGGACACTCAGGAGTGCCTGCCTTTGTGTGGAAAAAAGATACTGACGTCTACCCATGTAATCACTGCATTTTGCAGATTGATGCAATAATGAGTTCACTATGAAATTTGGAGAATTGGCTTTATTTGTTTTTTTTTACAGTGAAGCTTAAATAGTTCAGAATAATCTGGGAAAGGCCATTCACAATTACTAAAACCTGTATCTTAATGAAAAGTTTAAAAGTAATGTGCTTTTGTGCATTCAAGAACATACACAATTTACGTGTTCAATTGCATTATAATAGCATAAACAGAGATCCTGTTAGGCTTATATAAATGAATAATTAAGAAAACTAAATATACAAATATTTATTGAGTATTTATTGAGGCTTACCAGTCATCTTAAACTGGGTCTCTGCATCCTACAAAAAAACAAAACAAAACAAAACTATTCTGTTCTTTACTTTTCAAAAAAATGAGAAGGATTAAAAAGGGGGTGGTTTCAAAGTGATTAGGGAAACTAAAGGTACTTTCACATACATAGAAAATATCTATATATATTTACGTAGATATCTCAGATCTCCTTTCATGGGAAAAAAGTAACCTTAGAGGTTCTAGAAAGAATTGTAAATGTCTTAAGACGCTATTGGCAATACAGTAGGCCCTGGGGACAACCTTCAGAGAATATTCTAGTGAATGGTGCCCCCTAGAGCAAGCCTTAGTATGAATGGCATTCCTTGGAGTTTAGCAACACTTACTCGGAGAGATAACTCATGTCATTTACCTGAAATTAGTCTAGTTTGCACTCTAAATTGCCTTTGAAACAAATTTAGTCATAGGCTTGAATTGATTATATGTAGTGACTTGAGAAATCAGGGTAGAATAATGGATACTACTGGGAAAGACAAGGGAGGCCAGGCTTCAGGCTTCAGAGGGACCTGGGTTCCCCGCCCAGTAACTGTGGTTCAATATGACACACCCTGACTGAGCCACTTGGTAGCATGAGCTCTGTCACCATAGCAACACTGGGACCTCTTCTGCAGATCTTAGCTGTAGCTGTATCTGCCAATCAGCTCCGGCCCTGAGCCATCGAATCCATTTGTGATGAAGCCAGATGCTACATAGTGAAGGATGCACAAACTGAGCACAGATGAGCCAGAGAAAGGGAGGAAGTAAAATTTTCTCTGAAAGTGATTTTTCCTTTCATATAATAGAAATAATTAATAGTTATAGAATAACAACTGTTCTACTTTGTGTCAAAGCACAATTGATTTGGCAAATCCCTGTTCCCATTGCTAATCAATTGCTTATCTTTAAGAGCTCCTGAAGAACTTTATTTGTTGCACTGCAAGTATAGAGCTCACTACTATTGTATTTTGTTTGCACTGCCCTTGCAAACATGTGCATATGTGTGTATGTGTACTGGGTGTTTGAGTTTGTGTGTGTTCTCCAAGAGATTCTGAGTGCCCTGAGGACAAGAATTATGTGGTATTTATGCTTGTGTCTTTTGTACCTACCACTATGTCTGACACTTGGTTAGGTACTCCATAAATGCTATTTGAATTATTTTTTTTTTAAGTTTATTTATTTCGAGAGAGAGAGAGAGTGTGTGTGTGTGTGTTTGTGTGTGTGAGTGGGGGAGGGGCAGAGAGAGAGAATCCCAAGCACTCTGTGCTGTCAGCGCAAAGCCCCATGTGGGGCTAGATCCCACAAACCATGAGATCGTGACCTGAGCTAAAATCAAGAGTTGGATGCTTAACTGACTGAGCCACCCAGGCTCCCCACTATTTGAACTGTTGAATGTAATTAGGAATGGTTATGTTTAATGAATGATAGAGCCACTCCTGACTAAATGAAATTGGTGACTGAACTGGAGGTAGTCATACAGGAGAGTGTTACAGAGCAAGTATTACTGAGGTCAGATAGTAATGAAAAAGAATTGTCAATTTTATATATGCAGTTTGTAAACAAAAACATGAGAAGGCAATTTTCATAAAGAGCACAAGAACTCTCTCAGAATGTGTGTTTTCATTTATTTGATTGTGGTTTACTAATGGAATAAGAACATTCCCCAGACATCGCAGTAAGGAGGCGCATTTTGAGACACAGCAAGCTTTTAAGTGATTCTTCTGATAGGTTATCAGGTAATAGTGATAACCTCTTAGTTTTAAAAATCAGCTCCAGTAAATTACAGGCTTGATATGGAGAAGCATTCTGAAGTTACTGGACAAGCATTATTGTACCTTAAAAGGCAGAAAAAAACTCAATAGTTCAAATTCTTTTCCTGGTTTTTGAGACCCAAAATAAGTCTGCCGGTTATATAACCTAGTTATTAGCCAGGTTTTAAGACACCTACCAAAGGTCTTGTCTTTAATGCCCATGCTTCTTCCCCTCCATCATGCTGCCTTATTATACTTAAAATATATGCAGATGATCAATAACTTGACAAAGGAAATGAACACTCTAAAATTCTAAATACAGTTATTTGTATAGGAAAGCCAACTGTTCTGTTAAAAATCTAGGCTGACTGACCTAGATCTCCAAACTGAGAGGTTTGCCGAGACACGTGCAGCCGTGGAAATCTCTGAGATGTGGGTTATTTAAACAGATGGTAACTGTGACACAGTGAGCTCTACATGTAAATTGGCAGAGACCAAAACCAGAAAGGAAGCAAGTTAGAGAGGAAACATTACCTCACTGTAGACTTCTGAGAATTTTAATTAAAACAGAACAAAATTCAGAGTGCTTGGATGTACTTCTTCAGAATATTAATTGAATATCAGTATTGGTTGTATTGTTGCTATGACACCAATAGTTGGCAGGACTGGAGAGTTTTTGGAATCTTCTTTAGACTTTATGAAGTTTCTGAATGTGATGTAGCCCTGCCATTTATATACACTCAAATAAGATCTGGAGGGAGAAAGTAAAGTGGGGGCAGTGTTTCTGCTGTGTTGTTGATGTCGGCAAGTTAAGTTGTAGAGAAATTTTGTTTGTCCGTAACTGCATTCTGTGGCCAAGGCGCTAGTTTGATTGATGAGAAGAGACATTTAAGGCCGATGCATCGATGACTTCCAGATCCACAGGTTTAGGATTCCAAAAATTCCCAGTGGTGACATGGGGACAGTTCTGTGCTCTTTTCTGAGATTCCCTACTGGTGGCCTAGCCTAAAGCCTGCTAGTCCAGTTCTGCCAATAATTTTGCAAACTTCTACTTTGCTATATTGGCTTTTTAGCTTAAAAGAGCTGGAATAATTTTTCTTTCCTGCATTCCAAACCTAGCTGATACAGTACATATAGCAAAATAATTGCTATTTCCTGCTGCATTCCATCCCCCAGATCTGTGGTAAGTCTTTCATAAGCCCTGTTTCCATGCTGAATTGTGATGCACACATCTTTACTTTATTTATCTTTCTCTGTAAGGAAGAAGAGAATAACATTTAAGGAGAAAGAGGTTAAGCTTCTTCATTAAATAACTAAGAGACCATTTTGGAACATGAGATTATCAAGAGTAATAAAGATAAAACACTTTGTCTGAGAAGTCAAGTTTATAGGGTTTAAAGTCATGTTTACAACTTACATAAATCCAGAATAGAAGATGAAAGAATGGATGCTTCTCACAAAGAGCTGCTTTCTAAAATTGACAAGAAATTTCCTGAAATTAGGGTAATGAAACCCAGATTTATTGCATTTTTTCTTCATTGCATGGGACAGAGAGAGAGTCAAGGGACAAAGCAAATACAGGACTTTTGGCTCATACTATTAGATGGCTCTGATAGAAAGATGCATAATCAAGTTCATGCATGATTATTTTATCTGACATTTAAAAATGCAAGTGTGTGATTAACTCCCTAATGTTATTTTACTTTTGAAAACATGAGACCTAATGTGAAAATTGAGAAAGTTCCAACTTGAAAACAAAGAAGACTGATATTCCCATTAACTACTAGTAATTAACTACTGATTAATATATATATATATACACACATGTATACACATATATATTATATATATACACATATATACACACATATATATACACATATATATTATATATATGCACATATATGTATATGTGTGTGTGTGTGTGTGTGTATATATACATATATATATTTGCTTTGGTCCAGTTTTTCTAGGTATATACTACTTGAAAAAATATCAGTAATGTAAGAGTATATATCCCACTCCAGAAGTAGAACTTTATGAGTGATTAGGTTAAATCACATTTTTCTATGACCCCTAATTCTGATTTTCTTACCTCCACCTGGCCTGAATTAATTTCTATAATTAGCTTTGTGTGTTTCCTTTCAGTGCATTTTTAAAATTTTGACCTGCATGTGTATATGTAGCTACAAAAATATGGGTTACAATTTTATGTGAGTTCTTTTTATATGAGTAGGTTCATACTGTATGTATATTTTTACAACATAATTTTTTCTTCAACAATATGCTTTTGAGATCTATCCTTATATTTGCATATAGATCTACCATGTTTGACTCATCAATATTTTTATATCACTAGGACAGAAAAAAACATTGCCAGTTAAACTGATCTTCTTACTGAAAGAGCTCTTTCAGACTTAGTAGATGTAGATTTTTATCACTTATTACTCTGTGTATATAGAAAGGAAAATACAAGAAAAATTTACAAGATATTCCTAACACCTCTTCACATTCAGAGTTAAGTTCTTGAATCACTGCTTGACTCAGTTACTAATGCTTGTGTTTTTCTAAACAGTATTATCCTTTGTGCTATTCAAAGTATTTCTGAAAGAGCACTTCTTTAAAGAATGCTCTATTATTATCTCCAATATTTTTTTCCAAGTCACTGATACCCATTGTGTCAGTTTTGGTGTTGGCACTTTCTTGATCTGTCCAGAAGGTGGATAACAATCAAGATTCACACTCAGTCTTCAGGCAAGTCTTAAGTGGTTTGTTGAGTGCAGTATTACAGGATTGTAATTGTCCAGGTGTGCCATCAGGGATGACAGTCATTTTTTTCCATGCTTAGTCAATAGCATCCGAAGCATGGCTACTGCCTGAAGAACAGAAATTTATGAAGCAACCCCATTTCATATAGTAAAATGTAGAAAATAGTACAGCTTGGAATTGGTGAAATGCAGTAGTTCATCTCTTAAACTACTATAGAGTGTTCCATTTATTTTATTTTTATATAGTATTCCACTTAAAATAATATAATCTACTTGAATGATCTGTTCCTATACTACTGAGCATTAAGGTTGTTTCCTTTTTTTGCTGTTCTGTTTCACTTGGAAAGTATTTTTATTTTGGTGATTTGCATCATGATGGTTAAGATGTAGTTTGTGAGGCTTTCATAAAATAAGTATGATATTTCACATATAGTTAAGCTTTAGTATGTAATTAATTAAACTAATAATAAGGTAACAATTAAGTGAAATTGTAGTCTCCCCTCTTTAAACCTATTATTATCACAGTCAGCTATTTAAATGATGCACTTCATATCTCACTTATAACTTTGTAAGCCAGATGATTTTCAGCATTTACATAACATGACTGTAGGCAAGAAACATTTCATATTTGGCATTGACATATTTTTATTCTATTTATTTATTTATTTATTTATTTATTTATTTATTTTCTTTTTATAATTTTTTTTTAACATTTATTCATTTTTGAGAGACAGAGAGACAGAGCATGAGCAGGGGAGGTATAGAGAGAGAGGGAGACACAGAATCTGAAGAGGCTCCAGGCTCTGAGCTGTCAGCACAGAGCCCGACGTGGGGCTCGAACTCACAGTCTGTGAGATCATGACCTGAGCTGAAGTCGGATGCTTAACTGACTGAGCCACCCAGGCGCCCCTAATGTTTATTTATTTTTGAGAGAGAGAGACAGAGTGAGAGCAGGGGAGGGTTGGAGAGAGAGGGAGACACAGAATCTGAAGAGGCTTCAAGCTCCGAGCTGTCAGCACAGAGCCAGACTTGGGGCTTGAACTCACAAACCATGAGGTTATGACCTGAGCCAAAGTCGGATGCTTAACTGACTGAGCCACCCTGGGGTCCCTTTGACATGTTTTTTAAGTTATATATACTGTAACTGTATATTTGTCAAATAAACATTAACATACCCAGTAGTATGAGAAATATAAAGATACACTAATGAGAAACTAAAAAGTCATCTAGTCTCCCCAGCTTAGTCCTTGCTTGGAATCTTCCTGCATCTCATTTGTTACTTCAGATTTTGGCTCTCCCACCCTGGAGGGCCTGCATGTGTAGATTCTGTACCAGGTGGACAGAAGCTAGATCTGAGCGGAAGCCTGTCGTCAAGTAGTTCCTCATACCCACCTTGCGTCCCCGTTCCATGAGGATGCTTAGTTTAGGCCTGCACGGGCTTCCTCCCTGAAGTGCTGTGGGAAGAAAACTGTTTAGGTTTAAATGGTCCCAAGGCAGGGAGAGACACCGAGGACAGTAATTCTTCTTCCTGATGGTTTTTTATTTGTTTGTTTTTGTTTTTTGCTAATTTGGGAGTTAAACATACTAGTGATCTGGATGGAAAATAAACAATAGTGTAGTCAGATTTCTGTTGCCCACCTAATTTATATTTTTCTCTTGTTCCTGATTTCTCTACTTTTTTTTTTTAAGCTATGAAAAAGAGATTTCCCTTCAAAATTACTACAAACTCACTTTCTCAAAATTGCCTGTCTAACTCTATGTCAGTAGACTCTATATCTGTCATATGTTATAAGCTTGGTTATGTTGGATGATTTGTAATTTGTTAACATTTCATGCACGGTACATATGGAATGTCTGTCACTAAAATAAGAGCTATATCACATACTGTTCTTTTGGCTGGAGCATAAAAATAAAACCCTAATCCAAGGAACTGAAACAAATGAAAATTGTCTTAAAATGATCATGGTACACCAGAAGGAAAAAAATACTGTATTATGAAGAATATTCAGAAGAAATATACTCATGCACAGCTTATATACAATTTGGGAAATGAAATACATCCACACACACACCTGAGATATCCATGTATCTCTATACATCTCTATAATGACGGTTAAATTTGTACTTTTCTTAGTCTCTGATGTGCCTACACAATTCACAGGTCGCCAAAGTGATTTTCATGACTAACAGAATGCTTCATTTACTAACTTACCTCACTAACTTAATTATTCAATAACGTAATGTGTCATGTGCCATTGGCAAGATGATGCCCATTAGCTTTTCTAAAACATCTTCCATAAACACACTTAAAATGCTGCCAAAATTGAGGTTCCTGTGTATACTGATGTCACATACTGTGCTACAATCATGGCTCAGTGGATGCAGTTTTTTAGTGCATTCAAAATTCATGCTTTTTCCTTTAAAAAATTTTTTTTAATGTTTATTTATTCTTGAGAGAGAGACAGACAGAGACAGAGTGTGAGTGGGGGAGGGTCAGAGAGAGAGGGAGACACAAAATCTGAAGCAGGTTCCAGGCTCTGAGCTATCAGCACAGAGCCCGACGTGGGGCTTGAACCCACAAACTGAGCCAAAGTCAGACGCTTGACCCATGACCTGAGCCAAAGTCAGACGCTTAACCAACTGAGCCACCCAGGCGCCCCTCATGCTTTTTCAAGTACATAATTCCTCGTATCTTTTCTGTTTTTTTTTTTTTTTCATGAATGCATTTCGAACTCTGTTGTACTCTTAGAATAAAGTGGCACATTCGTCTATTTTTTGTAGTAGTCCCCCTAATGATGGGTTTATGTTCCTTGTCAAGGCTATTATGGTCAAATGACAAAATTTGTATTTTTCATCAGCAGATAGATCTCTGCTCTGTCATTGTGTAGGTGCCCCTGTGACAGCAGGACAGTCTTTGGGGAATTGCTATAGGCATTTACATGTGGTCATACATTTTTCTGATAAAGTAAACCCATGATAAGAGTTTCATAGTCTGTTGAGGAAGATGCTTCATCACTCTTAGACTGACTGTTAGCAGCATTGCTATAATGCTGCCATCGACTGAACTTGGGATAAATGAAACATCAGCCAGAATCTTTCACAGGCTGGGTTGATATGTGACCAAAATACTAAGGATATGATATCAAGCTGGGGACACACTCCTGTAAGGAAAAATAGAGGTATGCAAAATGTAATGAAATCCATATTCCAGTATTGATTATGACATCTAAGAGTCAGAGGGTGCTAGGTTCTGTACATACCAGTATATGTCATCTCATTTAATCACCATATCAGCTCTTTTCAGGTAATTCTTAGCATTTTCTCATTATAATGATGAAAAAAATGGAACTCGGAGAGGATAAAACATGGGTCCAGTATCACATAGCTGTGTCATTTAGCATCTGAAATACCAGATAGAGAGCTTTTACTTGATAATATATAGTTGACAAATAGTATTCATATGATGTGTCTATATTATAGGAATACTAAATATAAAAATAAATTAGCATAATAGTTGTGAAAATTGATATAGTATGATTTTATATGTGACATATCAGATTTTACATACATTATTCCATTCAACAACGTTTTGTGGCCATTATAAATGATACTCAGAAGTTTGCCCAAAATCACATGTTTATGAAGTTTCAAAGCCAGGACTCAAACCTAGTTCCTTGGAACTCAAATTGCATGCTATTTGCTATGTACCTAACAGTGATCTAAAACTTCATTTTATGAAGATGACTTTTTGCTATTAATTTTTGGTGGTATTTATAATGGTTATCCAAATAGAGAACACTAGAATTTAATCGAATCCTATTAGGTGCTTGTGAATTGATGCACATTAGAAAAGAAAACCAGAGAAGTGCTACTGAAATTCACTTCTTGATTCCTTAATAGTTGGGCGTCTTTGAAGTTGAAGTTTCCAGTGTTTTGGGACGTGTTCATCCCTTCCTGATGCTTAGCATGCTCTCTCTCTGTCTCTGTCTCTCTCTCCCTCTCTTTTTCCTCAGTAAAAGCACTTAGCCTTTATGTGTGCTTCTGAGACTTCTTTAGAAGTCACGGGTAATCAAATTCCATGACCTCTTCAACCTCTTGGTTAAGATATTGCTAATTGGTAGGGATATTACTATCTTTTGATAAGAATGGCCTCACTGAACCTTCTTTGACTTTTATTATTTTTTATTTTTTTAATGTTTATTTATTTTTGAGAGAGAAAGAGTGTGGGGGGGGGGGGAGGGAGGGACAGAGAGAGAGGGAGACACAGATCTGAAGCAGGCTCCCGGCTCAGAGCTGTCAGCACAGGGCCCGATGTGGGGCTCAAACCCATGAACTGTGAGATCATGACCTGAGCCAAAGTCGGACCCTTAACTGACTGAGCCCCCAGGCATCCCAACCTTCTTTGACTTTTAAAATTTGCTTTATGTCAGACTCCTAGAGGTCCCTGCAGACAGAAGACCACTGCACTTTTCCTCTCTCCTAGTGTAAACAAGTCACTAGGAAGAAACCTGAATATTGCTCAGAGTAGACACATCATGCTAAAGGGAGAGGAGGCATGAATCAAGCCAGGTGAGACAGGTTAGGAACAAAGTCCCAGAAAAAGTTGGTGTAGAATTGAGTGATTATGTATAGTTAGAATTTAGAAGAAGTCAACAAAAAGTTTTGGTTAATACTTAAATACAAGATGCAACTTTCATACTTATAGTTGATATGAAATCTCGAATAATTCAGGTTTCATTTATTTTGCTTTGAATTTTAATACTGTTGATGGTGATGGAAGGAATTATTAGATATAAAGAAAAGTTACATTTCAAACGTGTAATATTTACAGTGGCAATCATATTGTTTTGACAAAATGTCAGAATATACTCACATTCTATTTTGTACTTTAACACTTTAAAAAGTGATGAAAGGATTAGATGATTATATAATAGCCTGTCTTTCAGATATCTGTACCATTCACTGACTGTTAGAGATGACTTAATGTTCAAAAAGTGGCCATCTCATAAAAAGCAAATTAAAAATTGCATTTTAATCTTTTTGAAAAAAAATCCACAGATATAGAAAAATGGAAAATTACCAACACTCAGGAGCTTTTTTTTTTTTTTGCAACAATACACATAGGATTTTTACTCATCATATCCAAACTTTGAATTAACCAGTAGTTCATTAACAAGAGAATAACTTTTACAAATGAAGTATATTCATTCAATGAATTTCTATACAGCAGCACAAAAACAATGAGTAACTGATAAAGACAGCATCTTCCACATTCAAAAATAATATGGTAAGCAAAAAAAGCCAATCTCATTAGGTACCTATTCTAAGATTCTATTCATATGAGGCTCTAGAAAAGGAAAAGACTATATTTATGAAAATGGAAAAAGCAGTTGGATATAGGGGTGTGGGCTGACTGGGTAGTGGCAGGGGGAGACATTTTGATTGATAGAAATGTTGTATATTTGATTAGGGTGGCAGTTAATGAATGAGTATAATTTTTAAAATTCATCAATATATAATTAAGATATGTGCCTTTTACTGTATATAAATTTGCTTTCTTTTTTTTTCTGTGACTTTTCCTTTTCTTTTTTAAAAAAAATTTTTTTAATGTTTATTTATTTTTGAAGGAGTGAGAGACAGGATGAGCAGGGGAGGAGCAGAGAGAGAGGGAGACACAGAATCCAAGGCAGACTCCAGGCTCCAAGCTGTCAGCACAGAGGCCGATGCAGGGCTCAAACCCACAAACCATGAGATCATGACCTGAGCCTGAAGTCAGACATTCAACCGACTGCGCCACCCAGGCATCCCTCTTTTCTTTTTTTATTTAAATCCAAGTTAGTTAACATATAGTGTAATAATGGTTTCAGGAGTAGAATTTAGTGATTCATCACTTACATATAACACCTGGTGCCCATACCAAACGTGCCTTTGTTAGTGCCCATCATCCATTTAGCCCATTCCCTCACCAACCTCCCCTCCAGCAACCCCCAGTTTGTTCTCTGTAGTTAAGAATCTCCTATGGTTTGCCTCCCTCTCTGTTTTTATCTTCTTTTTCCCCTCCTTTCCCTATGTTCATCTGTTTTGTTTGTTAAAATCCACATCTGAGTGAAATTGTATGATATTTATCTCTCTCTGATGGACTTATTTCACTTAGCATAGTACTGTAGTTCCATCTGTGTTGTTGCAAATGGCAAGACTTCATTATTTTTGATTGCCAAGTAATATTCCATTATATACATATCGTGCCTTTTCCTAACCCTTCCTTTCTATGGTAATCAACTTCTTTGCTTTCCTTTATAGTTTTACACCAAGTACACATTCCTAAATCATATAGTTTAGTTTCTCCTGTTTCAAATTTTATGTAAATGAAATTTTGCAGTGACTATCACTTTTTGGTCTGCTCCTTTTGCTCAAATTAAGATTTTAAGACTTATTCTTCTTTTAGTATGATTATAGCTATTTATTTTTACTGCTGTATAGTATTCTATTTTAAAAATATACCACAGTTTATTTTTCTGTTCTGCTCATGGAAAGTTGGGTTGGCCACTACAGATAATGATGCTCTGAACATCTTGTTTTGTAAGCGGTGCAAGAGTTTCTTTAAGGTGGATAATCAGAAGTGTAACTCATGCCTATAGGGGACACATATTTAACTTTATTAGACAACACTAAGTTTTTCCCAAAGAGATTATATGTATTGACATACCAGTAGTATGAGAGCCTTCATTACTTCACATCTTTGCCAGACACACTGTTTTGAGACTTTGCCTCAATTATTTTAATGTACATTTTTATGATTACTGCTGATGTTGAGCACCATCTCATATAATTATCGCCTATGAAGATTTCTTCTTTCATGAAGTCTCTAGTCAGACCTTTTGCCCAGTTTTCTATTATGTTGTCTGTCCGTTGTGTTGATTTGTGAAAATACTTTGTGTATCTTGGTGACAAGCTCTCTTAGTCTTCCTTTCTCTTATAGCAGAGCATGGGGTGGAGGGTTTATATGCTTTATTAGGGAGTACAGTCTCCGAGAGAAGGAGTGAGTGGCCAGGAGGGCAAGACAGAAGTGGAGGGAGAGCCAGTGGCAACGCATCACTGAGTAGGCTGCAACTACATGCAACAGACCGCTCAGTCTAAGAGGATTGTCCCACAAGCACGATGAATGCCTCTCAGGCCCTTCCAGTACGGGAGAGAGAAGGAAAGGTAGGCACTTGCCAGCCCTTGCCTTCTGTTGGTCAAAGGTCCACACAGAGGATATTAACCTCACACTTCTGGGTTGCGTGTATGTGGGTGCTGAGTGGAGTCTGCTAGTCCAGTGTCAGCAGGGAAGCCCGTGGTGTGAGATGGGAGGCTGAAACACAGCTCTGAGGTGAAGTATCCAGATCTCATATAGGGTCTTTATTTTTTATGAATATAAGATGTCCTCCTCTTTTCTCCTAATCAGTCACAGTAGCCCCTTCAAGGTGGTGACCTGTCACATTCTCTAAAAGACTTAAGGCAAGAGGATTAATGAGACAAGTAATGGTCTTTCTCTATTACTGTGGAAAATCCCAAAGCTATAGTTAGCATTTACTGTAAATTTTCCTCACCATCAGTTCGAGATTTTTTTCTTACTCTTGGATGACGGTGCTTCCAGTCTTGGTTGCATGCCTGTTGGGTAGTTCTATATCTTTATCTCTGAGAGATTTGAACCATTAGATGCCTTGTTTTTGCTGGCCTATAGCTGCTACATTTGCTCATTCACCATTATCACAGAGGCACTCTGAGATGTCAGTGAATCATCCCACGTTTATACTCTTCCTCACCCCCACTGTGTAGCAGAAACTCTAGTTTCTCTTTTTAAAAATGTTTTATTTATTTATTTTGAGAGAGAGTGAGCAAGGTAGGGGCAGAGAGAGAGGGAGAGAATCCCAAGCAAGCTGCACATTGTCAGGGGCTTGATCTCATGAACCCTGAGATTATGACCTGAGCCAGCATCAATAGTTGGACACTTAACCAACTGAGCCACCCAGGGGCCCCAACTCTAGTTCCTTGTGATGATCAGGGTTATCTGTGATATTACAGTAACTCATTTATTTGCCTATTGAGCCTCAGGCACGAGGGGTCTAAAGTTTTGTAGAAACTTTATTACATCTTCTCGTGGAAGCAGTATCTCCTTGGGAACCCATTAATCTACACTGGCATAGTCTAAGGTTGTGGGGACAGGAAGTACAAATTCCACAAATGGATCAGTGGGAGTGTTGGTAAAAAGGGCCAATTCTACCTTTATCCCTAGATTCTCAGACCTGTGAATTCCAGACCTGTACTGTATCATGTATATACACCATTAGTTCAATACACAAACCTTGTTTTGGAAAAGAGACTGCACCCTCCTCAAACCCCATAGAATTTTCCCTGAGCTGATACCTAAGTTAATCCCATAACTGGCCATTTCATTAAGCTATTATGTCATCTGTTTCTTTTATTAAAAAATCTTTTGAATATAGTTGACATGCATTGTTACATTAGTTTCAGGTGTACAGCATAGTGATTCAACATCTCCATATGTTATGCCATGCTCACCACAAATGTAGATACCATCTGTCACTATACAATGTTGTTACAATATTACAATATCACTTCTTGTATTCTCTATGCTGTACCCTAGGCCACTTGCTTCTAATCTTAGAAGACTGGTGTTTCCCATGATCATGCAAACATTTTTGCACCTTCTTGCCATAAAATGGTCCCTAGCCAGAAATCAGAACCTGAGGCAAAATTCTTACGAGCTATCACTTAATTGGGGAATTGAATCCTAGGCATTAGGAATGAGGGACAAGAGAAATGAACTAGAAAATGAAGGAGAGCCAATGTGTTTGTGCTGGCATGCACAAATGTAACTGATTGCTCAATTCCATGAGATTGTACTTGGAGAATCCTTCTCAGGGCTATCCATCATAGGCAAAGATGGGCACAGAATGAAGGGGAAAAATTTGTGCACTGGCTCTTGAAGTGGTCACAGACGGGCATTAGGGAGTATCAGCTTGTTCACACTTGTGGGTTGCACATGTGTAGTGCTAGGTGGGGTTCAGTGGTGGTATCAGCAGAAAAACTGCATGGTATGAGGTGGGAGACATGCTGTGCTGGAAGGATAATCATTAGAGTCTAAAATTGCATTTCTGTCAGAGACTTATATAAAAGAATATCTAAAACTTCAGGAACCACATATGCAAATTTGGATTCTAT